TTTCCATGTATGTATATATATACACACACATCTCATTAGTTTACAAATACTAAATATTAAGACAATTGTGGTTGATTTTCTGGTTTTGTGTGGGTTTTGTTTGTTTTTTTGTAGGTTTCTTTAGGTTTTTTTTACAAAATATCTGCCAACAGTTCTCAGCATAATTTTAAAAGGCACATTTTCAACAGCACACTTATATCTTATCCTAGTTTTTCCTTGCCTCAGAGTAATCATTTCTCGTTGGTACATAGATGTTAAATGCCCTTTCATTTTATGATACAGTTATCTTTTCCATGGAGACTTCCCCAGTGCGCAAAACTTGGCATTTCAACACAGCCTGCAGCTCTCAATATGTGTTCCTAACGCACAGGTTAATAAAAGCCTGAAAAGCAAAGTAACTCTAAATTTTGTTTGCAAGTTGAGAAGAATTAGTTACAAAAACCTTCCAAGGAGCAACACCAGACTTTTGGCACAACTTCAGTGTGAATGCCCCATCCCTGGCAGTGTTCAAACCCAGGTTGGACAGGGCTTGGACCAACCTGGTCTAGTGGAAGGTGTCCCTGTCCATGGCAAGAGGTTGGAACTGGATGAGCTTTAAGGACCTTCCAACCCAAACCAGTCTGGGATTCTACAATTCATTCAACAGCAGCAAATACTGGAAAATTTCCAGCTATAATTATGCTTCCAGAGTGTCGTGGTTTAAACTCTGTCAGCCACACAGTCTCTCTCTCACTCCCCCCCTTCTTTCCCTCCCCCTACTCCCGGGGGGACGGACAGGAGAATTGAAAAGAATGCAACTCCCACGGGCTGAGTTAAGAACAGTTTAGTAACTAAGGTATAACACAAATCACTACTGCTACCACCAATAATAATAATGACAAAGGAAATAACAAGGGAAGAGAATACAACACCTCACCACCTGCCAACCGAATAACTCGCCACCCCCAACTGAGCACCGACCGATCCCTAGTCCAACCCTGCAGAGAACTCACCCTTCCAGGTAACTCTCAGTTACATCCTGGGCATGACGTGCTGTGGTATGGAATACCTCTTTGGTCAGTTTGGGTCAGGTGTCCTGTCTCTGCTTCCTCCCAGCTTCCCCTCCTCCCTGGCAGAGCACGAGGCTCAGAAAGTCCTTGGTCAGACTAAACATTTGAGCAGTAACTAAAAACTGTGTTATGAGCGTTGTTCCCAGGCTGAAAGTCAAAAACACAGCAGTGCACCAGCTACTAAGAAGGAGAAATGATTGCTACTGCTGAACCCAGGACACAGAGGTTTTAATTTTACTCAGATCCAAGTGCAGTCACCAGTCCAAGGGTGGTTTCTTTTCATTTTTTTCTTAAACTGACACAATCTCCATGTAAAAATCCATATTTAACAGCTGCAGTGGAGTGGGTTTGATATTTCCATTTTCCCATTAAAAGCACCACAGCTATAATGTGACACTGTTGGAATGAGTTCCCGAAAGCAGGCTTTCCTCCAAGTTGAAGTTTTCCATTAAAAGGAGTTTTAACTTCCAATAACCAACCTGTATTTACACTGTGCCCCTGCAGTGACACACTGCAGCCAGCAAAGAAATTCCACACAGGAACTACACATTGGTTAGTGTAAGGGAGTATTTTCTCCCCTGCCTTTTATATTCTTCTGAACTATGTCTAAATTTCTCCGAGCTTTTACTTCATTACCTGGGCATAATCTCTCAAACAGCTTTCACGTTACAAACGCTCTGGTTTAGCCCGGTGGGAACACGATATCCCATTCAGCATTTCCACAAACAGACCAGAAATTACTACATACAGCACCCCAGTAATTAGAGACAGATGTAGTTTTGCACAGAGGCCTATATTTTATGTTGCTAGTATGAATCCTAATAATTCTGATTAAATAAGTGAAGTATCATTCTATAAAATGACAGCAGTATTTGGTCCTGGATGCTGAGGCATTATGAGAAGCCAACACAGTGTCACAAATGGCATTTTCCAGTCACACCAGCAGTTTTTCCCTATGCTTTGCTATCTTTCTTAGAGGAATATAAGCAAGATGACAGCCAACCTAAGGAAGCATTTGAATTCAGACCAGTCTTAAGAGCATTCTGAGTTCAAATCAGACTCCTGGAAGTTTCAGAAGAAGAACCACATGTGTAATGGCAGCATACTTCAAACCATAGCAGAAAGCCAATGAGGAGTTTCCAGAAGATCCACAGTCTTGGGATATATCCCACAACACAGTTACTGCAGCATTAACATTTCATGCTGGTAAAACACAGCGTAGACAAAGAAACACTCCTAACAATATAGTGTAGTGGTCTTCCTCTGATAGTTACAACCCAGTTTTGCAAGTTCAGTTTTCTCTGGGTTTACAATTTGAGGTAAATGGCACACACATCCCAACAGAAAGCAAAATCATGCTCATGAAAATGGAAGTTATTACCTCACATGAGCGTAAGCCACCAGGAAGCCAGAAAGCTTCCTTCCAGGTAGGAGTTTTGGCACACAGCCTCTTAACACAGTCTCTGAGAGTTACACTTTGTGCTGATGTTTAAGTAGTTTTTCATCCCCACAACCTGCTCCTCAGCATTCAAGTTTATTGAAATGCGGCAGGAAACCAGGATTAAATACACACATAGTATCCAAATACAAACACATCCTTCAGGAAAATGAGCAGCAGATGCTTTTTCTTCTTGTTCCTATTGACTCATACAGACCCTGCTCATGCACATCAGGCATCTATAGCTTGAAGGTTCCTTAAGAGGCTCCTTACAAAAAGGCTTTTCCTTAAAAGCACAGAGCAGATTTTGGATTGAAGAGATGTCCCCGTGGCAATATATGCATAGTGTTAACCGTTTTCAAACTATATTTAAGGAAGATTTTATGGTGCTTTTAACCTTGAGAGATTTTTCGGATGACAAATTGACATAAACTTTAAAAAGTCTACTCACATCACCCCATATTCAGGTTGTTTCTGTTTTAGAAAAGTGGCTAATTAAATTAAAAACTGAACTGGCACAAGATTTTGTATGGACAGTTCTGTGCTCCTAAATGGCAAACTCTTTGAATCACCCTTGTGCACAGAAATCCCACATATCTCCTTATATTCAGTGCTGATGAATATAAAAACCTACCAGACACTGATGGGAAAACTGACATCTGTGGAATTACGTTTACAAACCTGACTCCTAACCTCATTCTCTAAATGCTTCTTGAGTATTTCGTAAATATCTTTTAGCCTCAAGCTGCTCCAGAAGCATGACCCCAGCCAGAGCAGCTCCTAAGAACTCTTCCCTGCTCGCAGGCAGTGGGACGGTCAATGACTCAGGAATACCCACACGGCTGGAAACATGCTGCTGTCAAGAGGTTGTAACACCCATCTGTTCTCCACTCCAGAGCACACTCTAGCTCCACCAGGCTCTCCCAGAGAAGCTAAGTGGCCATCTGGCACTTGGTGCCTCACCACAGTCGGACCCCTCTCCTCTCTGGCATTGTCAACTCCTTCTTTTGGGGCATTCTCATAGCCGTTATCTGATGTCATACATCCCTGAAACAAGACTGCCAGGTATTTCAAAGATCATGGTTCTGCACTAGTGCTCAGGGTGTTTAAAATGACATTAGTTGTCGTGTAGTCACGCTTTGAGGGAAAAACACACAACCCAAGCAGCCAACCTAGAAGCTTAGTGGTTCTTTCCTGCTTCAAGATCTTCATTTTCATGACTGGTGGCAAAGAATGAATTCCAAAAATAACTTTTTCCTAGATCAGCATTTTCTTCTGTTTTAAAATATCTATAGAATGTTTCTCAAAAAAGCCTGGAGAAGAGAAGGCTCCAGGGACACCTGAGAGCAGCTTCCAGTACCTGAAGGGGCTACAAGAAACCTGGAGAGGGCCTGTAGGGACAGAACAAGGGGGAATGGCTTTCCTGACAGAGGGGAGACTGAGGTGAGACCTTAGGCAGAAGTTCTTCCCTGTGAGGATGGTGAGGCGCTGGCACAGGTTGCCCAGAGAAGCTGTGGCTGCCTCATCCCTGGCAGTGTTCAACGCCAGGTTGGACAGGGCTTGGAGCAACCTGGTCTAGCGGAAGGTGTCCCTGCCCATGGCAGGGTGCTGGGACTGGATGAGCTTTAACGTCCCTTCCAACCCAAACCAGTCTGGGATTTTATGACAATATCAACACAGTAGCTGACATGCGTCTGTTGATTCAGGGCTGCCTGGTGAGATGCTGATAAATACACGAGGGCACCTGCAGCGTGTCATTTTCTGAAACCTTAATGTTACCACAATTATTACAAGTAATCCCATTATATTCTGACACAATCTGGAAACCGTAACCTGGCTGCTACAGAAGAGCAAGGCCCCAACACAAACCCACCGGCTGCACTGCAACTGGTACAGAGACCTCATGGGTACCCATGGAGCACCCCAGATGGAGCAAGGTGTGAAAGAGGATGCTTCCACCTTCCGAAGCAGAGTGCACCAAACTCCTCACAATGGGAACCTCAGCTCCAGCGACCCAGCAAGTCCTCTCACCCTAAACCCAGCCGGGCCTTTGTGAAAGGCTACAAGTTTGCTTGAAGGCTCTGCATCTGAAACAGGTTTAAAATCACAATCAAGGGCTACCTCTGGTTTTTACTTCTTAACAGGTGCTGGTGCAAGCACCGTTTTCTTAAGGTTTAATTATTAATTTAATATAAATCTGGTTTATAAAGCCCTAACCCAGCTGTGCTCAGGCTCATGCAAACGTGGCTTCGTCTGTTATTTCTCTTTCCAGTGAAAACCGGAGGATTAGACACAGTCGGGAGGATCCAGCCGGGAACAACCCCACCGCAACTGCCTGCAGAGCCCCAGCATGAAACGGGACCCCCAGATCCACTCTTACCACCAGCCCCATGCTCGCACCCGCCGCCTCCCACCCGCGCCGCTCCCATGGAATCCGGTCCCCACCGAAGCAGAGTCCTCGAGCGGGAAAACAAAGCAGCGACCCCCTTACCCCCAGACCCATGAGGTCCTACCGTCGGCAGTCAGAGCCATCTCGATGAGGGTCTCGGACCGGTTCTTCCCCAGCAGCTCCATAGCACCCTACTTCACCCTCCGCACGCAGCAACCGGGAACGGGTGGGTCACAGCCCAGCGTGAGTCAGGGCCGCCCCACACATGCGCAGCTCCCGCAAGGGCGGAGCGGGGCACCGGGGACGGGAGGAGGGACTGGGGTGCTGACGCTATCGGGCGCGGTTTCCGCCCGTCGGTGGCCGCGGGTAGGGGCCGCGCCCGAGGGATCAACTCGTTTCCCCGGGGAGAGAAATTTTCCCTGCCCAAGCTGCCTGTGTTCTACTTTACTCAATTCCAGTGTCCTGCTGAAAAGAGGATTCTCATAGTTGATCTTTCCCGAGAGGCAAGGGGATGTGGCATGAATGAATATTCCCCCTGGGCGAGGTGGGGAGGGGGGTAGAATTGTTTAAGGCTGATCGGCAACTAAGTCATGAAGATCACTTCTAGCGTAATGGGATGGAGGGGAGAATCATAGAGTCATAGAACAGTTTGTGTTGGAAGGGACCTTAAAGCTCAACCAGTGCCAACCACATGCCATGGGCAGGGACTCCTTCCTCTATGTCAGCTTGGAGTGCTTATGTTATACGGTTAAGTGGCAGTGAGTGATCCATGCACACTGGGAAAGAAGTCAGATTTGAAGCAGCAGCCTAGGATGAAGTCTTTTAACACAAGCAACAGCAACAGGAAATCTTGATCCATTCTTAATTTATTCTGAGTGGCCCAAGCTGTAACAGACTACCTTACCAGTGAAAATTAGTAGTAAATCCCACAACCTTTGATCTATAGGATCTATTGAAAATTCCAGATTACAGCCATGCTAACAGGACCAAAGACAATTTCTCTTCTCATTTCTTAAGCACCGCTTACATCTAAAGCAGAAACAGTGATGAGAACAGGGCCTAAAGAGAGAGGCTGAATGCAGGTCTGCAGTGTGCAAGAGCATGTGCAAGTTCTGCCTTGATGTGTGGTGAAACAAGTGATCCAGATATACACATGAATGTATTCTGAACACAGAAATACATTCGGAAGCCTTTGATGCATTACTGCAATATGAGCACTGCAGGTATGGAATTAAGGTATTCAATCAGCTGCTCTGGAGAAATATGCTTACACTTAAGACCCAGAGAGTTGTTTTGGTTGGAAGGGACCTTAGGATTATCCAGTTCTAACCTCCTACCATGGACAGGGACACCTTCCAATACACCAGATTGCTCCAAGCCCCATCCAACCTGGCCTTGAGCACTGGCATGAATGGGGCAGCCACAGCTTCTCTGGACAACCTGTGCCAGGGCCTCACCACCCTCACAGAGAAGGTGATCTGAACCAGCACAGTCTCTGATCTTTACTAAGAATAAATTTGTTCTTACTTTAGATCCTGCGGGGATGGTAAGGACAGCAAACAGTTCTCCTGCCTTCAGGCCAAATTGAAGCTGGTGTCAGACAATAAAGGATGATGCTGTCTTGATTATAGATTCAGAGCAAGCAAAACCATTGTTTTGGCTAATGATACTGGGCTCTTTTTAAGTAGTAGTCAGGAGAGAGATGGAATTGAGAATAAAGCCTGACGAAGGCGAAAATGAGGAATGGAAAGGTGGCAGAAGAAACATAACTCTTTCATTCCAGATGTTGAATTGAGAAAGAAACACTGTCTTCCTCTCTCAGACTGGCCTTATCTAATCTAGGCTTGCTCAGGATCTCTGAAGCAGGGAGCATCTCCCAGCACCAGATCCTGACAGTTCTGGTAGGGTGCAAGGCTCCTGTCCCAGGCCCTGTCCCTTTTCCCAGAGCTGGTGCCATTTCCCTGTCCCAGATAGCCTCATCTCCTCATCACTTCCTTCAGTAGTTTGCAGTAGTTTCCTACGACTGTTCCGTACGTGTATTTCACACATTTTTTTTTCATTAATATCATCTCAGGCCTTCTTTCAGCCTAACTTTTTTCATAGTCAGCTTTTACAGCCTGAGTGTTTTATGCACCAGACTGATGGGGGGGGGGGGGGTGATGGGGGTGTTATTACTTAGGCAACTGTAATGTAAGTTGTTTTCATGGCAGGATTTCTTAATCTCAAAGTTAATCAAGTCAAGTGACTTAGTGCTGGGCTCATGTTCAAGTCTACGTACAGTATTAGGCCTTTATTTGTACTATGTGGCATTACTACTTTGAGAAATGTATTTTTAGTCAGAAGGAAAACCTAAAAATGTGTCTGGTTGCTTGCTGAAATCTGAAATGTTTAGTTTGGTTTTTCATCTTACGGTGCAAGATAGTGGAAACAAAGAAGACAGGCTCAGCACTCCAGAGGACGCCTTTAAGCAGCTTGTGACCACATACAACACACTAGGTCACAAGGTTCAGTTTAAAAGTTGTATTTTCTCAGCCTTTAATTTCCTCACAGCATCATATATCTCGGATAAATGCTTTTATGCCTATAGAAGATGCAATTGAAGCCAGTATTCAACCAGAGTTAGAAACAGCAAGAATTGCAGTGGCCATCCATGGGTTTTGCCTCCTAATTACATGCTCACACTGCCCAGCTCCACCCAGCATGTGCAGTGGTAAAGCCAAGCATACCTAGAGCTGTGTAAGCATCACGTCCAGCATGCCACGGATGATTTGGTGTATCTGTAATTGGACAGGCTCATGGTTTGCTGAGGCACTGCAGTTGTCTAAATGACATGGTGGCTTGTGTTAGGGAGTTCTCTCTCCCAGAAGGAGCTATCTATGGAAGGCCTGGTGCCTGTGGCAGGGGCACAGGGGAGCCACACAGTATCCAGCGCTGAGATTTCTTGTGTATCCAAGTGTTTAAGTAACTATTGTGTAACTCGGTGGTTTCACAGTATGTCTAAGCCATCCAGGACCATACTTCCTTCAAAAGGCACAGATATTACTCCCTCCCACCTTGCATTTTCACTGCTGATGGATCATAAGGTGTTACAATGACTCAGGTCAGCCTGTCAAACTGACTGATCTTTTCTTTCTTCTGTGCTTTCAGATCCATGAATCACTGCAAGAAACAGGTCCTGCCAAAACAAAGGAGGAAATGGGGAACCACACCATGGCAGGACCATTTTATTCCTGAAATACAAACCCATAACCAGGTATGCCATAGTAGTTCTGCTTTTAGTGGTCTGGAGTTCACACACTGTTTCTAATACAGTGTGTACATAAACTGAAAAGTAAAAATACCTAAAGGGCTGTGGATGTAGGTTGCAAGCATCACAAAAACTGACTAGCAATGATTAATTGCACTTAGGATGTTCAGTAGTGAAGTGTAATCTTTTGTGCTAAAGGAGAGCAGGTAGTTTGTAGCCCTTATAAAGTCTTGCTTTCCATTGATGGGCTTTTCAAAAGCATGGAACTGCTTTACAAGCCTTCGTATTTAAAAAAATAATGATTTAAATGCAGAAAATTGGTGGGATGGGAGGGTCAGATTTCAAAGATAACTCTGTGTCCATCACTGCCTCAAGCATGTACTCCAAGACCTGTTCAAAACAACTCACAACTTACAACCTGAGCTCCCAGCTTTTGAAAGTCCTGGTAGAAAGCACTGCCTAAACCTTTTGGCACTGAAGCATCTTTGAAAATATGACCCTGAGTCCTAAATCATGCGGAAAATGGAGCTTTTGTGTCTATCAGTTAGGTGCTCTGAAAAATTCCCTTCCTGGGAAGGAATCTAATATATACAGCTTTTGCATTTACCACTTGGGGAACTACCTGTAAGTATGCTTTCTGGATTCCCTATGCTGTGCACATCATATATCCATGCCACAGTCTTAGCAGGTGCAGCAGCTTCCTGCTATCGAGGATATGTGTATTGTGTAAAAAAAGTTTTACACATATATATATCTATATATATGCAGAATTTCAGTAAGTTTTCAAATCAGACTGTGAGTACAAAGTTAGAAGTAGCAAAACAGGAGTCTGAAACAGTTGCAGGAGTAAAAGGGAAGTGGTGTATCCCCTGCCCAGCCTCTTCAGCCTGCTCTTTTTCCTCTGATGGCTGCACAACCCTGTGGATGGTCACTTTGCTGTGAGACTTCAGCACACGTGGGCTGAGTCCCAGAAACACCTGTTGCTGCTTCCCGCATCTCCAGGAGTGTGCTTTTGTCAACTGATTAAAGGCTATTGAGAGCTAACCTATTTAGAATAGAATCCTAGAATGGGTTGGAAGGGACCTTAAAGCTCAACCACTTCCAACCCGCTGCCATGAGCAGGGACACCTTCCACTAGAGAATGTTGTTCCAAGCCCTGTCTCCCCCCAACCTGGCCTTGAACACTACCAGGCATGGGGCAGCCACAGCTTCTCTGGGCAACCTGTGCCAGTGCCTCACCACCCTCACAGGGGAGAATTTCAACCTACTTTCTATTCCAAATCTCCCCTCTGTCAGTTTAAAGCCATTCCCCCTTGCCTTATCATTCTATTTCTTTCCCTGTCTTTGAATTACCCCTTTAGAATATCAGTTACAGTGCCATTTGGAAAGAAATATTTTAGAGACCAGTAGGGCCAGGTATCAAAAAGGCTTAGAAAGGTAAAGAGAGACTTGGATGGAAGTATAGGTGCTCAAATCCAGCATTATGATACCCCAAATCACCGTTTGGTTATCACAGGCTTTTTAGGTTTTTGAAATGCACGAGAAAGGGAGCACAGTTTCTGTACCCCAGGTAATAACATCAGTTAAAGTTTCAGCAGATGTCTGGGGTGTGGGATATCACCGGCAAATTCCCATGAGTGAAGGGGGTGCAGCCTCTCCTGCTGTAAGGCTGCTCTAGCAGCCTGAAGGCTGGGCTGGCTGTTAGGAGGAAGCAAGAGATGAGGAAGAGACAGGAATGGTGGGATGTACTGTGTACTGTGTGCGCTCCTGGGAAGTCTGCCGCTGTGAGGAAAGGGATGTAGCAGCCACTAACTAAAGAGAAAGCCCGAGGGAGATCACAACTGTCTGAAGGTTCAGTCTGGGCTCCCTAAATTCTTTCTGCATTTTACTCAGAGGCTGTTTGCCATCTGACTCTGCCTTCCTGCTGCACAGTGCCTAAGGCTAAACCCAAGCTGCCCGAATACCAGGCAGCCACTAAGAAATACAGTAAC